AATAATTAATAATATTAATAATAATAATAATAACAATTAATAATAATAATAATAATAATAATAATAATAATCATAATCATAATAATAAACAATAAATAATAATAATGGCAATAAAAATTAATAACAATAATAATAACAAAAAACAACAACAATAAATAAATAAATAAATAAATAAATAAATAAATAAATAAATAAATAAATAATTGTCGCAACTTAAGAATGTTTAGTCCTTCATTAAAGCAGCGCACTGCGTTGGACATCATGCGCATTTTCAATAATTCAGCGGCCGGTAATTACTCTTATACACCGTCTACAGTGTTTATAAGCGGTGTGCTGATGGCCATGCATGAACACACTGCAGCAAACTATTGAAGAAAACAATCAAGAGACCCGAGTGTAATCTTGTGATCGATCAGTCATCAGTTCAGCGCTGAATGTTTCGATCTCAGTGATCGTCAGCACACAGAAGCGCGGAGTGTGTGTCAGAGAAAGATTCATGCTAAACTCAGTCTGGAGGTCAGACAATAATCTCAGCAAATAAACAGAGGAGCTCAGACTGAGCAGAGAAGCTGGAAACGATGGAAATAACACATTTACACAGAGCACATGCGAACCGAGCCACAGCCCGAACACAGCAGACCAGAGGATTAATAAGGCAGATTACAGATTATTAATAATGCAAAGATATGCAGCCATGTACAGTTTAAAATGAGTCGATTTTTAATAATAATTATTGTTATTCTTAAGTTAATATGAACTCTTATTAATAGATAATAAACGCTGTCTGTGTATTTAATGTTATGCATAATGATGAAATGCCAAAACATTCAAACATAAAATAATAATAAAACTGCACATGCTTTCTGGATCTGGCAATATCTCAATCAAATATACCTCATAATGAGACTCATGCACGCATGCAAGCGCAGATGGAGAGCTTTTAATTTATACTAATAAATAATATGCCATCATAAAATAGCAGAAATATAAAAGCACATTAGAGATAAATAATGAGCAGTTTACAATGCTTGAAGCTCTGGCAGTCATAAACCAACATGAGAAATCTGATAATTAATTTGGGGACTGTGAGATTGTAAACGGCTTCACACATTTATTCTGCAGCGCATGTGCGGGTTACTATGATCTGTTCGCCTGTTCGTGATTTAATTATTATAGCATGTAATTATAGAGAAACATGCAAACACAGAAGGCCAAATATATTGATGAACTAGCTCTAATCAGTTATAATTCATAATTTATTTCATTTAATAATTGTGTTTCTTCATTGTAAACAGCTTTGCTGGTTTCCTCAGTTTTGATGTCGTGTAAGAGCGCTGTTTAACGCATTATATTGCTATAAACTAATTAATTACTGTTAGAATATTTATTATTTCATCATTTTAAACGCGTAAAGTCACTCCGATAAATGTCTAAAAATGCTGAATTATATTCCGACGTTGGGTCAAATACAGACAAACCCCAAAGTTGGGTTAAAATGTGTCATTTAAATGTCAGCTAGTTGAAATAAAATATTGACCATTGTTGGGTTTGTAAAAATTTTACCCAACATTGATTTAACACAAGACTGTATCGACAAATGAAATGTAAAGCGTGTGAAGGTTTTTCCTCAGTGTTTTAAATGCGTAATAAACGGATTTCAGTGGAGAACACGATAACAAAACGGATTTCTCTGAATCGCAGAGTCTAACAGAATCAAACAGTGATGAAGAGCTCTGCAGCGTCACCTCCATCATGCGTTTCTCACGGCAGATCGCGCACGCATGACGTCATGCGGGCGGCGGAGTGACGTCACGCGACCTACCTGATAGTGTCTGCGGTGGCGCATCTTCCCGCGCAGAAACTTTACGGTTGCTTACACGCGCGCATTTGAGGAACTATAGATAATAAATGCATGGAAACCATTTAACACACGAGAACAAGCAGCTCGCAGAATATCACAGAACTGACACGTGAGTCGCTTTACAGTGTGTGTGTGTGTGTGTGTGTGTGTGTGTGTGTGTGTGAGAGTGGTAGGCCTAACTGTGGCGTGAATATCATTGCATTGTGTATTATAGTTCGTGTTCTGCTATACATATATATATATATATATATATATATATATATATATATATATATATATATATATATATATATATATATATATATATATATATATATATATATATATATATATATATATATATATATATATATATATATATATATATATATATATATATATATATATATAT